TTGTTAGACCAAACAAGTGCTAGTATTCGAGCTTATATGGAATGTTTTTATTTTTTGCAGTTGGGAAACATTTAAATCTTATATATTTGGCAAATTTACTTTGTATATTATTAATCTAAATTATCAAGGACCATAATTTCAAGGCCAATCAGAAACCGAAGTATATACATCTAGGAATCAAATATTCACTTATTCACTTTGGGTGGCTGCCAGTTAATTCTATTATCAGTGATAGTACTTTGAACATAATTTTTAAAATTGGTTACGTTAAGTGGTAATTGGATCACTATAATTTAATTTTGTAATAATTTGGTCATAGCTTTTCAAAGTTGTCTCAATTTAGATCACTTTCTTAATTATGCCGTATTGTATAACACTGGACACTGACTTGATCATTAAATACTAATGTCCATCTTACTTGGCTATAATAGAATAAAAAAACTTAGGGTGTGTTTGATTGGGTGGAAATGGAATTGAAATTGAATTTTCCAACTTTAGGTGTTTGATACAATTTTTCTTTTCTTTTTTTTCAGGGAATTCGAATTCTAGGTTGTCTTGAAGTTTGGAATTTTCTTGGGTTTTAAGGAAAATCAATTCCTACCATATATGGTGGGAAATTGGTTTTCATACCCACTATAGCACTTTTTTTCCTTTTTTTTTTTTTTTTTTTAACAATGGAAACAAATTTTAAGAATTATTGTAAAAAAAATATTTCCCTTTAAATGACAATTTTCATATAAAATAAAGTCAAACGAACACCAAAAGATAGATGATTTCTTGAATTTATTTATTTATTTTTTGTGTTGGCAATGGAAACAAATTTAATCCCCAATACCAGTAAAATTTATCCATTTAATTGACAATTTTCATATAAAAAAAATTATTTAAAAAAATAAGCCTTTTTTTTCTTTTTTTTTTTTTTTTTTGTAACAATGGAAACAAATTTTAAGAATTATTGTAAAAAAAATATTTCCCTTTAAATGACAATTTTCATATAAAATAAAGTCAAACGAACACCAAAAGATAGATGATTTCTTGAATTTATTTATTTATTTTTTGTGTTGGCAATGGAAACAAATTTAATCCCCAATACCAGTAAAATTTATCCATTTAATTGACAATTTTCATATAAAAAAAATCAAACGAACACCAAAAAAACACTTTTATTTTAACATTTTCCACGTGAAAAATTATACCAATCAAACACAATAATTAATAATTCTCAGGAAAACAATTCTAGGCATTCAATTTCTTAAAATTCGTTTTCTAGACAATTGAATTACATCTTTACAATCAAACGGACCCTTATGATTTGTATTATTTTTAGTCCACAAGTCTAACGCATAACATGAGTTTCTTCAATTGAATCACTTATTCCAGGTCCCCCCTCTTTTTGGGTATGAAAATATAGCATAGACTTTAGTATGTGACAACCACGACCGTTCGTGTCTGACTTCGAACGCTGACAGAATTGAACCTAAAAGCCTGAATCATAAAAGAGTTTAGTATATATAGTGATCCATTCGATACAGAATTAAAATATAACCCTTGTTTGATCCTCATAATTTTCAAAATATATTTTTCTCTTTCTTATTTTTAATCATACATTCTTCAATAAAATAATAGTGATTTGATTGATTCAAAATGAAATATAATTACTCTTTTGAAAATTGAATTAAAATATAGTGACTACTAATGTAATTGACCCAAGTAGTTGCACTATAAATGACACCGATCGAAGCTAGGCACATCAACAATCAAGTCTCTCTCTTCTCAAGTCTGCCACTCCCTTGCTGGGTAGATCTTGCTCATTTTATTTTCTGTATTTCTCTATCGGCTTTTTGTTTGCAATGCCTATATCCTCAGCGGTGCATAAACCGTGGTTAATCAGTCGCAAAAGTGGTATGGCGAAAAGCCGACTACTCTTTTGTAGTTTTATCCACAAATTTCTTATAAATTTTCCTTTCAAATCTAGTGGTTTTAATTCTCCATTTGCGAGGGGAGTTTCGTTGTCGAACGGTGCAGACTACGATTACCTTGCTGATTTGAAAGGAAATCATGGGAATGAGAAGCAGCAATCAACTCCTCAAAATAAAGATGTTGAAGGAGTAACATTAGCAGTCACGTGTCCGCACTGCGGAAAGTCGTACTGTGCGCATGCAAAGTTCAATGTCAACAATAACGCCCAATCTGGAGAAAATTATAAAAAGTAATATGTAACACTGGAGTTCCATCTCGTTAATGTAAAATGTCATATGTGGATCTCCTCTATTGTGACGTGAGCAAATAATTAAATAAATAAGTACTTGTGAAGTTTTTATTTTTAAATCAGTTATAAATTGTGTTTAGATTGGTGATTGGAGTTGAATAAAATGTAATGCTATTGTGTAAGTTTGCGTAATAAATTTGCTGCACAATCTCCATTCTTAGCATAATGAGGAAGTTGTATCACGACATTATATATGAACTCACTGAGAGTGAACAATCTAACTATTCCAAAATATAACTATTTTATTTCTTTCTTCATCTTTTCGTTTTAGTTTAATAATTCAAGACGTAATCCCAAATCCAAATTTAGCCCCTGTTTGATTGTGATTAAAATTTAGATTTTAATTTAAATCAAAGTCAACAATTAATATCAACCACATATTTTAAGCAATCCACAATTGTTCAATCATACATTCCATTAACTTTTATTATAATCTACTAAAAGTCTAATTTTAATTCCCACCAAATAAGTTTTTCTTTAATTAACTTTCTCGTGGCAAATTTCATTTTTTGACCATTAAATGAGTAAAAAGTTTGATTGATCACCAAACTTAGCACAATGTCACAATGTGGTCACTGAACTTCCGTTTGCTGCTCAACAGTCACCGAACTTACAAACATACCACTCCATCCATCACCCGTTGCCCCATCCATTTGAACCCATCTCACGTGGCTTGACGGCAGGCGATGTGGCTGTCGATGACGTCAAACTCAACCACGGTGGACCCGATTTCACAGCCAAAACACGACCCTTCACCATTTCCCAACCCATAAATCTCTTATCCCTAATTCGAACACCCAGCCCTAGATAGATTTCCTTCCAAATCCTCCCCCAAATCGATTCTTCCACACCTCACAGGCAAAATTGCCAGAAGTTCTTTGCCATCACAGGAACACCAGACGCAGGTCGTGTCGTCGTCTTCGTCTTCCTAGCAACTACATACTGATTGTGTTCACGAACCCACATACCGGCAGATGAAGGTTTTCAAAACGCGAAAGAGGTGAAGAGGTAACATCTTGAAGTTCCATGTAATGGCCTGAATGTGAAATTGGTGCCTGGTTTGAGAATGAACATTTTTTTATGTTGAAGTTGATTGGTAATCTACTACTAGCATATGAAATAAATAGAACTGTCGGTCCCCTTTTCTGTAATGTTATTGAATTCTATTCAAAGAATTTTGATCTCTAAGGGAGCTACTACTGATAATCATTCTTATTGTTGGTGTCCAAACATTCTCTTTAAGCTTATACTGCTATTGATAATCATTCTGTGCAGCATCGATTTCTTTATCTATTGTGTTAATGGTTTTTGACTGCTAGTATTATTACTTTTGGTGGATTGAACGTTACAACATGAATGCGCATAATGGGTGTAAATTGCACAATTCTTTTTGTCATGGAAGCTGATATGCTATCTTAATTTAGTGTGAATGTTTATTCAAAAACATGTTTGGATTGAAACATTCCGTTGGTATCCAGTACCTTTTTTTTTTTTTTCCCTATTTGGGTGCACTCTTAACAGATTATATACGTTTTGGTGTTGTGTCTGGTGTATATGGTAGTAAATGGTTATTCCCCAGATTATACAAGCCTGGCAGCAGAAACCAATCACTATCTGAAGTGCCATTTAACTTTGAGGCCATTGGTATTATCCGGACAATTGGCTGCCCGTGGTGTAAGTAGTAATGGGTTACATCGTACACCACATAACCCAGTAGACCACCTCCAAATATTGTAGGAGCTGTAGAAGTAGCTATAAATTTTATCAAGTTCCAAATTGGCACCAAGAGAATAGCAATTGCAACAGGAGGAGGGAAGACAAGGCCTAGACCATCCATGGGGTGCTTATGATGACAACCATGAAGAAGATAATGAATGGTGTTTCCCCAGTAGTTGTTTGTCTAGAAGCGAAAAGGGAAACAGCGTACAGTGTATTCTAGCATTGTCCAAGTGAAGATGCCAACTGCCATCACCAATGTCACTTGAGGTATTGTAAGCTCCATTCTAATGGATTTCAAGATGAACCAGAAAACAACTGGGAGCCAAATGAGGGAAAATACATAACACTTTGCGAGTGTCAAAAACTCCTAAAAATCACTTTCAAAAAATCGAGGGCCTTCCTTGCTCACAATTGACTGGTAAACCCACTCCTGATAAGCCTTCTTATCCACAAGGGAAGAGGAGTTACAGAGGATATAGGGATAGAGAAGGAAATAGCTCTGCGAATTCTTTCGTTTTAGTAGTTCAATATGTTTGTAATCATGCTTTTGGAGTTAATGTAGTTGATGTATCTATTGATGCAACTTTTGGAGTTTATGTAGCTTTATTTGTGTTGTTATTAACAACTGATTCGAACTAGAATGCATGTATTGTTGATTTTGGAGTTAATGTAGTTTTTGTATCGTTGCCCCCAAAGTTTGTACTTGCATGCCTATAACAAAAATTAGTTTGTTCTCTTACGTGATCTCTTTCAGTCAAATTATAAAACTATGAAAAGGAGACAAACGACAACTTACATTCACTAATGGTTCATGGCCAACGAAAGTCTTGCAACCTCATATTTCACATATGGTGTGCGACATTTCACTGGAATTGAACTTCTACAAGCAACATCACTCGTGAAAGTAGAAAACTTCAAGCTAGTAAAAGACCATATTCAACATAACATCTCTCATTACAAGACACCAATTGTGAATCAAAAGAAAGTGTAATATTTGCGGACGTTTAACATACAAAACAAAAATTTGCTGATTTCAATTGACAAAAACTTCACAGCAAATGAGTAGCAAGACGTGACAAAATCCAGTTGACATGGGAACAAAATTCGGTTAACATTGTCTGAGATACTTACACAATATAAAATATCCACAAATACACATGATGGTATTGCCTAAACATCTAACTTATAAACAACAAGGGAATATGAATGTCTGTCATTGCATGAAGAACGCATCGAAGTGGCCATCCAACAGTCCACAAGTCAGCTATATCGTGCCCTTTCACTCTCAATCTTGAAGATTCAGCCTCAGCTATGTCTTGCAACTCATCAACCAAAGTGGCTGCTGGTCTAGATCTAAGCATACCAGTTTGTGTTTCTCCCGCAGCCATAGGCATAGGCATGAATTGCATTTGACGTTCTTCATGCACATTATCGCTTGATAAGCCCCTACCCCCTCTTGCGTCTATCAATTTACCCTATAAAATCAAACAAACAAAATCAATCCGTAATGTATAATAACGACCAGATTTCATGAAAAATTAAAAGTACACAGTTCATAAGTACAGAAAACAATAAACCTAACTCATGATCTGCAAAGAACGTGAAAACAATTATTTCACCTCTGGTTTAAACATTTAAACTAAATAACTTTCTTTGCTCATTCAGTAGAAAAATTAAACTACCAACCAATGCATCTACAACTGTATGAATTCCATGTTCAGATTCAGGCCACAAATTATAGAGTGATTATAGAGGGATTTCATCGAAGTACATTGGAAAAGAATATCTGCTAACATGAGAATCTGTAATAAAACTTATTACACCAAAGTTCCCAACAGTATGCAGCTAAAAATCTTAGGAACATTAGACATATTACTCGTGTAATCCACCCATCAACCACTCCAAAAATAACAAAAGGTTTCAAACAAAGAGCATTTTCAAACCAACAAAAAACTCAATTTCTGTAAAATTTTTAACATGTAACTAAATCAACCTAATCGATCACTAAACATCCTAAGTGAAGAAGGGTTACAAATACATGATTCAAATGGAATTTCTCACCTAGTTTAATAAGTCACCTTCATCGCTCACGGTTGGTTGGGCTCCTGGGGTTTCCTCCTCCGCATTTTGAACGTTAAGGTAATGGGATGTAGTTCGAAGTTTATGGGTGAAAATCACTTGCATCCAGGGATGGTGTCCATTGGAAGATGAAGAACTTCTAGCAATTTCGTGTGGAAGAATCGACTTGGGGGAAGATTTGGAAGGAAATCGATCTAGGGCTGGATGTACAAATTAGAGATGAGAGATTCATGGGTTGAGGGAAATGGTGAAGGTCGTCTTTTGGCTGTGAAATCACATCCACCGTGGTCGAATTTGACACCATCGACAGCCATGTTGCCTGCCGTCAAGCCACGTGAGATGGGTTCAAACGGCGGGGAAAGCGAGTGATGGATGGTATGTTAGTAAGTTCAGTGACTATTGAGCAGCAAACGGAAGTTCAGTGACCACATCATGACATTGTGCTAAGTTTGGTGATTAATCAAACTTTTCAACTCCCATTTAAATTCATTTCTACTTTTTTTTTTTGTTGAAAATATATTAATTATACCTCACTAATAAGTATGTAATTGCTTTGTACTGAAAATTTCAAACCAAAACTGCAATACATTTCTCTAGCTGGGCCGACGGCATCTCCGAAGACTCCCCAAATACAAAATGTTCTTTATTTCATAAAGTCAATACTTAAAAATAAATTCCAAGAAACTCTTTATTGTAACTTTTTAGAACTCCAAATTTGGCTCTCTTTCTTAGTTTATAATGATGCATTTAATAAACTACGGATTTCAATATTCTACTGCTAAAATTATTTAAAGAATAAGATTTAAATGGATTAGGCGATTAGCTATTGACATATAAAAATTACGTCAAGTAAAATCTTGAAAAAGTAAAATGAAATGTCAAATAGAAAGCATTATTTTGGTGTATAAAAAAAAATTACTAGCGAAATCTAAAAGTTCTCTCTATTATACTTAAGATATTAATTATAAATATAAGAATAATGCTATTTGTACATATACAAATTGTTTCGTGGATAGATGATGCGTAAAAAAGGGTGAAAATGTTCTTTTTTATTTATTTGGTTAAAGAAATTTTGACGCAGCCATATCTCATTAGATCATGTCTATGTATATAAATCCATAAGTTGTAATGTATATGTAGCACAACTTTAAATATAAAGTCTTTTGGATATGCTATGATATGTCCTAATGAAACAGTGAGAAACCAATTAATATAAATTATGTGCGATTTTGGCTATGTATGGAAAGTCTTGCATGTATTATACTACTATATGATTGTTGAGAAATTACAACTGTGAACGATATAATTTTTAATTTAAATGGACAACAATTTCTGAAGACAAAAACATCACAACGAAGTAGAGTTTAAGCCCAGAATTTTTAAAAATTGAGAGACAACTAACAATACAGAGTTGAGAGACATATATTCTCAGTGTTTTCTAGGTACTATAATTTCTTATATCAATATTGTTTCTCTTTTGATTTAAAAAGAGTTATTATATTCTTCTAATATAATGAAATTCCTTTTACTAGCCTTGGAACATTTAATACTTAGACTACTTCAAAAAGCAACGAACAATGTATGGAGATTAAACGGCAATTTTAGTTGTGATTGAGAAACGTATTTCACTACTAGCTAGAGGAACAATAGAGTAACATATCGAGGTTGTCTTAAGGAAGAAGTGGTAAAAATAGGGTGAAAGTTCTGTTAGAATGGCATTATAAGGTTGGCTTCATCGGAAAAGTCAAAGACCCCTAGTGGTTAGACAATTTATGGCTCAGCCTCGAGTTGAATACTGGAAGATTGTTATGCATGTGATAATCAAACTAAAAATGAGCACTTATAATAACATACTTAATTACTTATCATTGTTCAAATAATTGTGACAAATATCCAGCAGAATTTGTCCATGGAAATAAGAAATAGAAACTTTCGCCACTTGTTTTGAACTACAAAGCACGACTCACTTGGCAAATCGAGTGGATCAGGGCAATCCATATATAACCTATATTTTAGCACTGCACCTGCATATATAGTGAATGGACGCTAAGCATGAACAGCAACAAGTCTTGATCATTTCTTTCTTGTATATTCATTTTATTGCAAAAATGTAAACAGTGAATTAACTGATTGTCCAAAAAATATATGGAACTCTGGGAAATCTACTGAATTTTGTTGGTACCCACTGTATTTCAAAAGGTTTGTTAAATGATCTAAAGAGGCATGGTGAGATGAAAGTTATTCAACATGAATGACAAGAAGCTAATGCTTATCCCATTAAGGGTTGAATTCTCAAAATGTTTTTATATAAAAGTAAATAACTTCCAAATAGGATTATTAAACTGCTCAGCTCTTCTGTAATATATTGTATTCAAATGAATAACCAGTTACCATAAAATTCTGGTACTTTTAGATCTTCAGCTAATCAATGCTGATTACATTTTTCCCTGCCTTGTCCTTTCTTCAAAAGGTATAAAATGCAGAACCCACTCCAAGAAGTAATCCTACCGATTCAGCCTGCAGCAGGGCTAAGAGATGACAATAATATACTTTAATGCATATTGTGCCTAAATTATTATTGACAGAAACCGGAAGACCTGGAACTGAGGTTGCTAATTCAAGTGAAGTCAAAGTTCTTGGAAGAACTGCGAGTTAATATAGTCAATGGTCACTGAACTTCACTATAAGTTACTATTTGCTCACCGAATTATAAAATGTTACTATTTGCTCACTGAACTTTACTATAAATAACTACTCGCTCACCGAAATTTAAAAGGTTACTTATTATTCATCCAAATTTGTACAAAGTTACCCATCAATCGTCCATATCATTTCTATGAGTGTTACATATTGCAAAGTTTAGTGAACAACGAGTAACTTTATTCAAATTTAAGTGAGCAATGAGTAACCTTTTAAATTTCGATAAGTAAGTAGTAACCTATAACAAAGTTGAATGAGCAACACGTAACTTTTTAAAGATCGGTGAACAAGTAGTAACCTATAATAAATTTCAGTGACCATCCATTAAATTATCTCAAGAACCGCAAAGACACAAACTTGGCACTTATAAAGCTGTGGGCTCTTATAATTAACCAAATATACAGAAAAGGTTAAAACAATATGATAGCGATTCTTGCCCATTAATATATTATGAATTCAACTATCCATTATACCTAATAGAATAAAGATGGCTCGTACATTGATGTAATACTGTACCTTTTCCTCTTCTTAATATGATCTAATAGATCATTTTCTCGTGTTAAATATGCAGTATGTATTATTGCATGAAGATAATAAATGTATTGCCACGGATACTGGAATCAAAGAAGACGGCGAAGTATGGACGGACAAAGCAAAAGGAAGCAGATCTGGTATATAGGTTTTCAAAGCAGTGGGGAGATAAAGATAAAGATATTAGCAGATTGGGTACTTAATGGAGATTTCATTTTCGGTGTTCTGTGTGTATCACATGCTTCATGTAATTAGGGAAACTTACTAATACAATACGAATACATAGTAGAAGAAAAAGTAAGATGCCGACCATTATATAATTACGAAAAACCAGGCAATATATTTGTTAAGAAATATAGGATTATTAATTATTTATTAAGGGTAGAATAGTCCTTTTTAGTTTCCTTTGTTTAGCATATATATATTCTCTTTGTATTTAGGTTAAACAATCTTTTAGCATTTAATTAATTAATGTAGTATCAATGAAACCCTAACCTCCTCCTTTTTCTTCTTTATTTTCTTTGGATTGTTTAACATGATATCAGAGCCACATGTTATAGGACAAAACTTAATCTTAAACACAGCTTTCTGCAATCTGTTAAATCTGGTATTTCTGCAATCTAGTATCCTGCAATCTGTTAAATCTGGTATTTCTGCAATCTGTTTTTTTTATCATGGCTACTGAAAGAGACGATTCCCTTCAGTCTGTGAGTGTGAGGTTGGATGGAAAGAATTATTCGTATTGGATTTACATGATGAGAAATTTTCTTAAGGGTAAAAAGATGTGGGGATTCATTAGTGGAACTTCTGTGAAACCTGAGAATACCTATGAGGGTTATGCTGCTTTGATAGATGCCTGGGAATCAAACAATTCAAAAATTATTACTTAGATTAACAACTTTGTCGAGCATTCCATAGGTAGAGAGTTGGCGAAGTATGAGACAGCAAAGGAGGTTTGGGATCATCTGCAAAGATTATTCACTCACTCAAATTTTGCAAAGCAGTATCAATTGGAGAATGATATATGAGCTCTTCATCAGAATAATATGAGTATTCAGGAGTTTTATTCTGCTATGACAGATCTTTGGGATCAATTGACCCTTACAGAATCGACAGAATTAAAGGCATGTGCTGCCTATATTGCTCATAGAGAGTGGCAACGGTTGGTACAATTTTTAACGGCACTTCGCAGTGATTTTGAAAGACTTAGAGGTTCAATTTTGCATCGTTCTCCATTTCCTTCTGTTGACTAAGTTGTCAGCGAGTTATTGGCTGAAGAAATACGTCTTAAGTCTTATGCTGAAAATGGAATTCTTTCTGCTTCTAAGCCTTCTGTATTAGCAGTGTCTTCTAAACCATCCTCTAATAATCAAAATAAGCCTTACACAAGGGTTGCCTTTGACGAGTGCAGTTTCTATAAGCATAAAGGTCATTAGAAGGCTCAGTGTCGTAAGTTGAGACAGTCAAATCAATTACAGCAGCAATCTCGAGCTTGGAAGCCTGGCAACCAATCACGATCTAATGCTCATAGACTACCACAATCTAATACTGCAATAGTAGCTTCATCAGGTCCTATCACCGATCCTTGTACTTTGGCTGAGCAATTTCAGAAGTTTCTTTCCTTACAACCTCAAGCTATGTTTGCTTCTTCCATAGGTCAGTTGCTTCATAGTTCCTCAGGTATGTCACATTCTGTATGGGTCTTGGATTCTGGTGCTTCACATCATATGTCTCCAGATTCTTCGTCTTTTGCTTTTGTATCCCCTTCGTCCTCTATTGCTGTCATGACTGCTGATGGCACTCCTATGCCATTAGCAGGTGTTGGTTCTGTTGTCACACCTCACGTGTCCCTTCCTAATGTTTATCATATTCCGAAACTCACATTAAATCTTGCTTCTGTTGGTCAGTTATGTGATTCTGGTAATTTAGTCACATTTTCCTCTTCTTCTTGTTATATGTAGGATCTGCAGTCTCAGAAGCTGATTGAGACAGGCCGTAGGAAGGGTGGACTATATATTTTGGATGAGCTAAAAGTGCCAGTTGCTGGCAAAATTTACACCCTTGTGATATTTTTGATTGTACTGGATGCAAACTGGCAAAATTTTCAGCTTTACCTTTTAATCGAAGTATTTCTGTTTCTTTTTATCCATTTGATTTGATTCATTCTGATATATGGGGGCCTTCT